CCTGTCGTGAGGAGGGACCACCCCGAACCAGTCTCTCGAGACTGGCCTCTGGTGTACTTGTGGTTGCTAATTCGATGCCCTGAAGCGGAGGACCAGCAGGAGATGGCCGTACTAGCTGTTCTGGAGACCCCCGAAGGGGTAGCGAGCCCCTCAGCTCCGCTACGTTCCCGGGCGGAAGAAACTGAGGGGAGCGCTCGCTGCGCTCTTCCCCAGTAGGGGACATGTTCTCATGACAGGGCCTTTTGGCCAAGGACTTCATTTCATTTCATTTATTTATTTAACCAGAAAGAAACTCACTGAGATTAAAATCTCTTTTCCAGGAGTGTCCTGGCCAAGAAGATTCCAATCTGAGGCTGCAGCATATTTAAAAGAGGTTTTACCAAGCTCAGTTCTGACAAAAGGTATACAGAGATTGTAAATTGATTGAGAACGCAATGAATGATTTCCAATTAAAGTCCTTTGTATAAAACAACAGAGATACTTTGGCAAATAACCCAAAATTGCCTTATATATCAATAAATGCCAATGCATTTTTCTCCGTATTCTCAAGGAAGGCTATGCAACTCTTTTCATATAAATCACAATGATGAGTTGAAAATTTACAATCAGTAATAAATCTCAGAGCACCATGGTACAAAGCATCCAAGGAAGAAAGAAGGTAAGAAGGGGCATGCTGGTAAACCACATCCCCATATTCAAGAATCGGTAAAAATGCAGCGGACACTAGTTTTTTCCTCACCTTAAATGGGAAACATGACTTATTTCTAAAGAAAAACCCTAACTTCTTCGTTAATTTTTTACTCAGATACTTAATATGTGGACCAAAACGTAATTTGTTGTCAATAATAATACCCAGATATTTGTACTCTGACACTGAGGTAATTTGGCTCCCTTGAGAACTTCCTCTGAAGCACGACCCTCAGGCCGCTGACCTCGGTCCCGTTGCGGGGAGCACGAGAAGCGACGCTCTGTTTTTGTTTTTCACGGTATGAGGAGGAGGTATGCGGCGAGAGCTGCTCCCGCCCAGCAGCATAATAATAATAATAATAACAAAATATAAATTTTACTTTATTGTTAATTACAAACAAATTGACAAACAAATCAATAAAATCTTACTATTGCAATAATCCGATTGAAAATTTTAAATGTATTTAATAATAATAATAATAATAATAATAAATACTGACTTTTTATTTTACAGTGGAACACGATTAATGTAGTGGTAACTTATTTAAATATTAAAACTATATAATTAATATTTTGGTTAATACTAAATACTCACTTGTTTATTTTACAGTATTACTGCAATTATATAATTTCTTTATTGTTATTATTTTGGTTATTATTAGTAGTATAACACTGACATTTTATTTTACAGTGCAATATGATTACTGCAATAGTTTTTAATAATAATAAATTATTATTTTGGCTATTACTATCATGTAAATTATAACAAATATTATAAGAAATAAAGAAATATGATGTGATTTTAATAATCATAATAACAAAAATAAGAAAAATATATTATATTAATTATAATTGTATTGTGTAAATTACAACAATTAAAAAATCCATTCCATCCATATTATTGCAATATTTATTAAATAAAAAGTCAGTATTTCTTAATAATAATATTAACCAAAATATGAATTTTATTTTATTATTATAAGATAATAACATAACTGTTATAATTGAAACACAATTGTAATATAAAATAAAATTCAAAATGTATTATTATTATTAGTAGTAGTAGTCGAATTAAAATACAGACTTTATATTTTACAGCAATTGTACCATTTTTAATGCATTTCTTATAATTTAAATAATAATAAAATAAAGTTTATATATTTTTTATTATTATTAACAATATTATTTCTACCTTATTGTAAATATACCAATTAAACAAATCAATAAAAATTCTTACTATTGCAGTAATCATATTGTACTGTAAAATAAAATGTCAGTATTTAATAATAATATTAATAATAATAATAATTATTATTATTATTAAACATTTAAATAACCAAAATATTTTATATTGTAATATCTTATTATTATTTAATTATAATAATTAATTATAACAAAAGAGAAAATAAATATATTATGATTGCAATAATCCAATTGTACTGTAAAATAAAAAGGGAGTCTTTATTAATAATAACCAAAATAGTAATTGTATTTTTAAAAATATTATAACAATTACATTTAATCAATAATAATAATAATAATAGCTATTTTTTATTGTTATTTAAATGTTAACAAATCCATAAAAAATGGTACAATTGCTGTAAAATAAAGTTAGTTTTAATTATATGATTATTATTACTATTATTATTATCATCATTATTACGTATTGAGTTATTATTTTATATTGTTTTTATATTATTTTATACATCTTATAATAACATAAAATTCATATTTTTATTATTAATAAATAATGAATTTATTTAATAATTATTGCAGTAATATTATTGCAATAAGTTTTTGATTGATTTGTTAAATTGTTGTAATATAAATAATACAATTATAATATATAAATATTATATTATTTTATACATCGTATAATAGCATAAAATTCATATTTTTATTATTAATAAATAATGACTTTTTATTTAATAAATATTGCAGTAATAATATTGCAATAATACATTTTTTATTGATTTGTTAAATTGTTGTAATATAAATAATACAATTATAATATATAAATATTGATATTTTGTTATTATGATTATTATCATAACATCTTTATTTCCTATAATATTTGTTATAATTTAAATGATAGTAATAGCCAAAATAATCATTTTATTTTATTATTAAATACTGACTTTTTATTTTTGAGTGCAAAATAATTATTGCAATAAGAGTTTTTTTTTTTTACTGGTATAAAATAAAATACAAAATTAAATTACATTAATATTTATTATTATAATTATTATTATTAATAATAATAATACATGCATACATACTTTTTATTTAAGAGTACAATAGCATTATTGTAATCATAACATTTCTTTATTGTTATAATTCGAATAATTAAACAATCATATTGTGGTTGCTATTATTATCAAATCAGCAGATTATACATATTTTATCACATTTTTACATATTTTAGAAAAAACTGTAAATAAAATCACACAAGAGATCCCATAATAATTTAATACAGCTTTTCTGTAGTTACAATATATTTTATTAAATGCTATGATTATTGTTTTATTTAATAATGTCAGAAAGTCTCCTGAAGCTCATGTCAGTCTTGTGAGGAATCAATTATATTCATAATACAAACATAAATTCAATTCTGATCTCAAGTTCATTTCTCGTGTTTTATTATTTATGCACAAAAACAGAGAAAAATGAATGACGTACTTTTCACAAACATGATTCATGAAGATCTTTTCAATTGAAAGAACATTTTGATAGTAATAATACAAATTATTGATGTGACACTACAACAAAAACACAAATGTAGATAAACACACACATACACACAGTCTCACACACACACACACACACACACACACACACACACACACATTATTATCATAACATCTTTATTTCCTATAATATTTGTTATAATTTAAATGATAGTAATAGCCAAAATAATCATTTTATTTTATTATTAAATAGTGAATAGTGACTTTTGAGTGCAAAATAATTATTGCAATAAGAGTTTTTTTTTTTTACTGGTATAAAATAAAATACAAAATTAAATTACATTAATATTTATTATTATAATTATTATTATTAATAATAATAATACATGCATACATACTTTTTATTTAAGAGTACAATAGCATTATTGTAATCATAACATTTCTTTATTGTTATAATTCGAATAATTAAACAATCATATTGTGGTTGCTATTATTATCAAATCAGCAGATTATACATATTTTATCACATTTTTACATATTTTAGAAAAAACTGTAAATAAAATCACACAAGAGATCCCATAATAATTTAATACAGCTTTTCTGTAGTTACAATATATTTTATTAAATGCTATGATTATTGTTTTATTTAATAATGTAAGAAACTCTCCTGAAGCTCATGTCAGTCTTGTGAGGAATCAATTATATTCATAATACAAACATAAATTCAATTCTGATCTCAAGTTCATTTCTCGTGTTTTATTATTTATGCACAAAAACAGAGAAAAATGAATGACGTACTTTTCACAAACATGATTCATGAAGATCTTTTCAATTGAAAGAACATTTTGATAGTAATAATACAAATTATTGATGTGACACTACAACAAAAACACAAATGTAGATAAACACACACATACACACAGTCTCACACACACACACACACACACACACACACACACAGAGTCTCACACACACACAGGTTTGTTTTTGTGAAAAGTAGGGACATCCCATAGGCGTAATGGTTTTTATACTGTACAAACTGTATGTGCTATTGCCCTACACCCAGGGGTGTAGATTACGCGGGGGATGCGAGGGACGTGTCCCCCCCACTTTTAATATCACGTAAATTCGTCCCCCGCACTTTTTCGGGCAAGTGTGTTCGCATAGAGGTTTTCAAGAGCCGGTGTGAATAAATATATATTTAAATTCAAAGAGACAGGATAGTCTGTGCATGATCTGATGTTTTATTCAGATCCAGAATCGACGAGATGAACATCGCGGAGCGCTGAACACTGTGCAGTGAATGTTTCATTCATACTCGAAGCCGGAGGCGCTCGCGCGCAGAAAGTCGTACGAGGAAATGGACAGAAGCGTCCAGCTATCGCTGTATGAAAACAGTTGTTTTCACAGAAAAACAGAAACGTTTGGAAACATGAAGACATTAACCATAGTTTTTGAACAGTAAGATTTTTAATGTTTTTTAAAGAAGTCTTTTCTTTTCACTAATTCTGCATTTATCTGATCCAAAGTACAGCAAAACAGTCAAATTTTGAAATAATTTTACTAGGCTATTTAAAATAACTTTTCTATTTGAATATATTTTCAAATGTAATTTATTGTTCAGTGACAGAAGTTCAGCTGCAGTATTAATGTCATGAAGAGACTCTATAACATCTCACTGTTACTGATTTATCATGCTGCTCAGAGCATTATGGGTAGAATCTCTCGTCAGTCTCTGATTCATCAACACAGTTTCACTGATGATTCATAATAAACTCTAAAACCAGGATAGAGCGGCTGAGTGAATGTGGTCTGGACTCTGTGGATGAGGCTCATTGTGTTTCTGGAGACGCTGTAGAAGGACAGGGTTCCTGCACTCTGATCCACAAACACTCCTATTCTCCTGATGATGATGGGCTTCACAGGGAGATCATTGTGTTTTTTATTGTGCCAGAATGAGTATCTGATGGGAGAGCAGATCAAACTCCAGGACTGATCATTAGATCCAAACTCACACTCATCACCCGCTCTCTTCCTGCTGATGCTCTTATATGACACTGATATAAACACATAATCTCCACTCCACTCAGCCTCCCAGTAACAGCGTCCACACACACTCTCTCTACACAACACCTGAGGAAAACCATCAAATCTGTCTGGATGATCTGGATACAGCTGTTCTTCACGATTGTATTCAATCACTCTGTTCTCTTCAGACAGTACCAGGTTTTTATTCACTGTATTTGGATCCAAAGTGAGCTGACGGCAATCTGATGAAGATAAAACACATTATCTGCATATCAAGTAATACATGGCTTTCAGAGGGACATCATCAAATCTGTCTGGATGATCAGGATACGGCTGTTTCTCAAACACACCTGTCACTTTTCTGTTCTCCTCAGACAGACTGAGTTGAGTGTGTGCTGTGTTTGGATCCAGTGTGAGAAAACAGCCATCTGAACACAAGAACAGAGACATTAATAACACAACAATCACTACAGCTGTGTGTGTGTGTGTGTGTGTGTGTGTGTGCGTTTTGCTCTCTTCCCTACAGATTCTGTTTTGAGGTTTATTATCTTAATCAGTGTATTCAAGCATAAATTGAACATCTCTATCTTCTTGTCTTCAAATATTTTTTGACTAATCACATCCAGGACTGGATCTGTCTGTCTTAAAGTGCTCATTACAGTGTTTGCAATTGAAAATTCCACATACTAGTTTTTTTTTTTTTCAGGATACGGCTGTTTCTCAAACACACCTGTCACTTTTCTGTTCTCCTCAGACAGACTGAGTTGAGTGTGTGCTGTGTTTGGATCCAGTGTGAGAAAACAGACCCCTGAACACAAGAACAGAGACATTAATAACAACAACAATCACTACAGCTGTGTGTGTGTGTGTGTCATTTCTTACATGTTGTACTGTTGTGCAAAGTGTTTTTTAAAAATTTTTTACAATGTCTTAAATATATTTTTGCGTGGCGCGTGATTAAGAGACCGGAGTGAGGTTTGTGAGTCCCGGGGCGACGCTGATTCAACCGCCGGAGAAACTCCCGGAGACTAGAGATGGGCGTATCGATCCGAAGTATCGCTATATCGATACTGACGATATACAAAAATACCGATATGAAGGTTTATGAAGGTGTTTTATTTATCAGTGATTTTGTTTATTTAACAAAAAAATGATTCTTACAATATGCAATTAACAAAATAAGTGGTATCGCCCATCCCTACCGGAGACATGGAGTGAAAGAGGCGGAGGAGGAGAGTAAAGCCTGTGTTATACTTTCCACGTGCGCGAGTCCACTATGATATGCATGACGTAAAAATCGCCATCGGAGGGTGTACGCGGAGGCTCTATGTGGACATCCGCGTGCCTCTCAGTTTTTGTGACCATGCAGACAAGTATAAGCGGTCAGTAGAATACAAAAGCACCAACTGCGCATGCGCAGGCTGTCTAAAGAAATCCGTCGCTACCCGCACTTCTACAAACCGTCGATAAAACAATATAAAGACAGCCAGATGTGCAATAACTCTGAGCATTTGTTTGTTCACATGTTTGTTTACTGTTCAAGCCGATCTACTGCGCATGTATGGAACACGTCTGCGGAGCGGACCACCAGCGTACACTTTAAGTAGTATAAATATAAGTAGTCTGCGTCCACACTGTCCGTGTATGCGTCCGGATTGCTCACGCGGAAAGTACAACACAGTATTGTTAAACTATGTATTTAAACGGCTTGGTCACTGTCATAACTTGGGTCAAGCGATTAGTCAACAGAAGAGACAGACGGCTGCACGTGAGTGTCCTGCGTAATACTTGTTTATAGATCTGCTGTTGGAATTATTACTTGCTGCTAGGAAGGAATATTTCGTTTTCTGCCTATTTCTACGTTATATTGTTGTCTGCGTTTGTATTTTTGATTGCACTTTCTGGTAATTATAATAATTGCCCTCGGCTAAGAAGGAGCGCGTGTAATTTAATTGCTCCCTTCCTG